TGTTCTGTGTCCATTCACCTGTGTTCTGTGTCCATTCACAGGTGTGTATGGACACAGAACACAGGTGTGAATGGACACAGAACACAGGTGTGAATGGACACAGAACACAGGTATGAATGGACACAGAACACAGGTGTGAATGGACACGGAACACAGGTGTGCACGGACACAGAACACAGGTGTGCACGGACACGGAACACAGGTGTGAATGGACACAGAACACAGGTGTGCACGGACACGGAACACAGGTGTGAATGGACACAGAACACAGGTGTGAATGGACACAGAACACAGGTGTGAATGGACACAGAACACAGGTGTGCATGGACACAGAACACAGGTGTGCACGGACACGGAACACAGGTGTGAATGGACACAGAACACAGGTGTGCACAGACACAGAACACAGGTGTGAATGGACACAGAACACAGGTGTGCACAGACACGGAACACAGGTGTGAATGGACACAGAACACAGGTGTGCACGGAGGCACAGACACCTGTCCGTGCCCACACGTGAGTGAGCACACAGGTACACACAGGTGCCCCAACACACACACACCTGTAAGAACACAGGCACTCACCACCCCCATGCACACTCACACAGGTGACACTGGCAGAGGTGGGGGTCGAAGCTGACACCTCCACACGAACACCCCACCCCCAGGGCTGACCAGTGGCGTGGCAGCACCTGGCACCAGCAGCTCCTTGGACTCCTTTAAAGTGCCCCAGCCCAGGCATTGCCCCTCCCACTGTGGGTGCGAATGGGGCTGCAGGGGGTCTGGACAGCCCCTGCCCCCCACCATGCACAGCCATCTTCAATAAGGAAGAAATATTAAGCATATGAAGCAATTATAAGGAAAAAATAATAAAATAAATCAGTTCATTCATTGGTAGGAAGGGGTGGGAAGGTGAGGGGCTCCAGGTGTTTACCCCTGATCCTGTAAGCAGGCAAAACACAAGGGGATGGGGATCACCCACCCAGGGACAGCAGGATAGGGAAACCCAAAGTGGTCGCTGGGTGTGGAAAAACCTGGATGTGTGTCTCCCCAGCCTCCAAAAAAATAACCCTTCCCAAAAGCCCCGATTTGACCCAAAGTTCCTATGGTATTGCCCTCGACGCCTCCATCCCGCATCCTGCTGCATTCTGGATACTCCTGGGCAGCCAGGACTCTGGGAGGTGGTGTGACCTCCAGAGAGCAGCTCAGTGTCCAGAAATCATGGCCAGGGCCCAGTTCTTGAGGGCCAGGGTTGCGTTTTGCAGGTAAGCCCAGGAAGAATAGGTGAAGCTCATCAAGTGGTCCCTCACGCACTCCCACGTCACATCCCCACTGGAAAAGCAAAGACGAGGGATTACAGGGGCACTCAGAGCCAGGAGGGACAGGGACACGGGGGATACAGGAGCCCCTAGGGCAGGGCCACAGCAGCCCTGGTGCCAGGTCTGCAGAGCAGGATTAGGGGACACCCCCGGCCCGCACAGGGAGAGACACAAGTGCAGCACCAAGGCCAGGGGGCAGCGCCCGAGGGGAACCGTGCAGTGGGGGCCACTCACTTGCAGGAGTCGAGGCAGCTCTGCCAGCCCTGCTGCAGCACCGCAGCCAGGCCCTGCAGCAGCGGTGCCAGGCAGCTCCGCAGCAGGAACAGCAGCAGCTCCCGCACGCACTCAGCCAAGTGCAGCAGCGACTCGGGGAGCCGGTTCTGGAACTGCGGGAGCAGAGACACGGCCCGGGGTGAACAACAACCCCTCCAGCACATCTGGGCACATCTGGGTCCCAGCTACCCGTGATGGGCGCATCTCACCCCTCCCTTCCCCAGCATCCTTGAGCTCCCCCCACATTCCCTCTTCTCCAGCACTCAGCAGACAGGGCACCCACACTCTGTGAGACACCGATGTCACCCCACTGCCACCAAAATGCTGGCTTCAGGAGCACCAGGAGTTTTCTGAGCTCCCTCCCTTGCACAGTCACTGGAAGCAGCTGGAGCGGGCTGGTGCCACAGAAAGACAGACAGCACCAGATGTGCCATGGAGCTGTCCCCTTCCCAGAACCCCAGCACTGGGGGCTCCTGCCAGGAGCAGTGGCAAACATGTCACCATCTTAGGTCTCCCCCCCATATCCCCCTGACAGAGATTTCCCAGTCCTACAAGCCCCCCACTGGCATTCCTTGTCTCCTCCAGGCCCGGGAGCCCCCACTCACCCAGTCGCTGAGCCAGGGCAGGCTGCCATGGAGCCAGGAGAGCAGGGAGCGGCACTGCTGGGACACATCCCGGGCCAGCTCCCCGCTCGTTTCCCAGAGCAGCTCCAGCTGCGGCCACAGAATGGACACAGCCATGGAACCGTGCTGGGCCAGGCTGTGCTCCAGCCACCTGCAGGGAGTCCTCAGATGAGGGCTCTGCTGGACCACGGCAGCAGCGGCACCCGCGCAGAGCACAGGGGCACGGAGCTGCCACCACAGGGTGAAGGGGTGAGAGTTCCAGTCTGAGCTGGAAGTGCTTCCAGGCAGGGCTGGGAACAGCTCCTGGCTCTCTCCCAAACCTTTTCCTGCTGCACAACAGCCACAGCCCCCTCACCCCCGCCACCCACGCTGGTGTCACAGACCTGTACCCCTCCAGGCAGCCAAGGGACACCTTCTGCCAGGCCAGCTGGGACGCAGGCAGGATGCCGGAGGAGCGGAGCAGCCGAGCAGAAGACGAGGCTGCAAGACACAAGGATGTTTCTTGAGTGGCCCTTGGCTGCAGAGACACGCATCTGTCTGTCCCCAAGGACTCTGTGGGGACATGTGGCTTCAGCTGTGCTGTGGAACCCCTTGGGAGATGCTCCAGGAGAGGACAGATGGACAGAACCCCCTGAGCAGGGAGACCCTCCCAAAGGGGAGCAGACAGAGGGCAGTCTGCCTGCAGCACCTGCATCCCCCAGGACCCCCCAGCTGGACAGACCCCACTGCTCACAGCAGCTACAGGACAAAGGCAGGGCTTTGTCAGGGAGAGGCTTTGCTCAGGGGAACAGCCACAGGAGTGATCCCAGGGAGAAAAAGCCTCAAGCTCGTGACAGTGAAGGTTTAGGTTGTAAACAAAAACCAGTTTTGTCATAGGAAGAACTGTCCAGGCTGCTCAGGGCAATGGTGGAGTTCCCATCCCTTGGAGGATTTAAAAGCCACGTGGGTCTGGCACTCCTGTGGATATGGGATAGTGGTGGCCTTGGGAGTGCTGAGGGATGCCTGATGCTCCCAGAGGACTTTTCCAAGCTGGATTATTCTAGGACTCCCCACCGTACCCTGGAAGGAGCCGTGTGTCTGCACGTCGTGCAGGAAGAAGCCAGCGGCCAAGACCAGCAGGACGAGCAGCAGACGTGGCCAGGGGAAGCCCCGGCCCCTCATCTTGTGCAGCAGCTCCTGGATGGGAGGACAAGGCCCCTTCACCGCAGGGTCCTGGCAGCAGAGAGGCCCCAGCACAGCCCTGCTGTGCTCTGGCAGCGCCCAGCCCCGGCTTCCCAGGCGGGACAGAGAGATCTGCTGAGCAGCTGCGGGGTCTGACAGGGACCAGCACGTCTGTCCCCAGCGTGTGCCGCCGCAGGGCTCTGCCTCAGCACGTGCTGGCAGAGGAGGGGCCCAGCAGAGCCCCAGCACGGAGCTGCAGCCTGGCCCCGGTGCCACCAGGCAGTGCCTGCCTGTCCTGTCCCTCACCTTGCAGGCGGCGTCACAGGCGGCCACATCCTGGTCCCCTCTGGCCCCCCTGGCCGCCAGCTCCTCGTTTGTCACTTTGAAGGAGCGAACCGTTTCCTGCAGTGACTGATGCACCTTGGGGACAGCAGGAGCTGTGTCAGGAGCCACAGGTCCCCACAGACCCCCTGAGCTGCCGTGGCACCAGCAGGGCAACCTCAGGTCGCGCGGGGACCTGGCCAGCTCAGGGAGCTCTCACAGCAGCACGGGGACATTCTCTCACCCCACAGCTCACCCCTACCTTCTTGCTGCAGCTCTCCCAGGACTCCAGGAGATGGTTCAGCAGCAAACTGGGGGGAAGGAGAACCCGGGGCTTGGTGAGAGGCTCCCAGAAGGAATTTAGGTGTCCCAAAGGTTCTGTAGGTGGGCACTAGCCCCACTGAGAGCCAGTCTGGACTGACCTGGACTGAGCGAGGTGTTTGGTGTAGAGCTGCCTCCAGACGCTGAAGCTCAGTGGGTCCAGGCTCAGACACTGGCTCATGGAGGTCAGAAGCTGGGGAGGGGGCACAGCACGTGTGACCCTCCCCCTGGCACGCCAGACACCCCCTGCCCTGGGCTGCACCCCGGCACA